TAATTTTAAGTGCACCATTTTCACTAAGTTCCACCTTGAACACCTGTGCTTAAACATACATGTGCACACATGCACACAACCAAACACTCAAAATGGAAAGCACATAAGCTCTCTAATTAATCAGCTATATCTTGCATTCAGAAGTAAATAAATTTTAAATACAGCATGAGTTCCCATTGTCCAGTGATTTAAAATATAAAACATTTTATGGAGTTAGAGGTCCACTTGCTACCACCCAAATATTTATATCAGAAAAGGGAAAGATTGGACATACTGATTTTCTTAGAGGGAAAAATCTTTTCAATTTCATCAATTATATAACATGAATTCTATCTAGGAATACAATCTTGGTTTTCTATAAGAAAAGCAAGCACTCAAAATTAATATTGTATATATTCTTTCTCTGTGTTCACTTTCCATGATTAGAAGTTTTGTCATTATAAAATCTTTTTAGATAAATGTATCGTACATCATCAATTGGAATTTTTATTAATAATTTACTAACAGGTATATAAATTATTGTTTATGTATTTACTTGTCAATGTATCATCTTAGATACTACTGCTTTGTGATATAAAACCTCTCTGTGAACTTGGGAAGTATATGTCACCTTTGTAGTTTTTAACCTCTGAAGTCTTTAGTTTCCTCTTTAAAATACAGGGGCTGAAATGAATTTTTATGTGGTTACTTCTAGCTGTGACAGTTTATAACATGTATCTCAGGGAAATAAAAACAATGTAATTAAACTGTGCATATTTATCTAAACATGATATTGTAAAATAGAATATATAATAAACTAAGAGGAGAAAAAAAGGAAGTCAAAAGACACTATGTAATTTCTTTCATTTTTATCTTCTCATAACCTTTTGGTATTAAATAGAGTAACAAATCCAAAAATACTTACTTATGTAATATTTTTTCAGTAGCTGGAGGAAAGGGTGGTTTAGAGGAATTTTAATCCACTCCCTTCCTTCCATACTCTCTTCCACATAAACATTTAATCCACATAGCAACAGGGTCCAGTCACCTCCAATATGGGGGGACAATTTCCTTAGCCCTTCTCTAAACAAGATGGCTGCCACAACTCCTCTTTGGGTTCTCAAGGTGCCACAGTATAATCTAACAATATGCTAAATGCTACTATTAATTATATTACTAGTTATATTATCTTGTTCCATGAGATTTTGGAACTTAAACTGTCTCAAATTGTAGGTCAATTTGTCTTTACTGGACAGAGGAGAAAAACCCAGGAGAAAACTCGGAGAGTCCAAGTTACCTCCCTGGAGTCACACTGCCAATTATAAAGATGAGAGAAAAATTCAAAACATTTGATTCTACACTCATATAAGGGTTCACCTAATGGGCAATGTTCATTTTTGATTCTTCATTCATTTTCTTTCATTCAACACATTTTTAAAGGTTTGAAAAACATAACCATTATTGCAAGTACAGTTAACTTCCTCATGGATTCTACCAGCGGAAATTCATTTATTCTTTATGGATGCCAAATTGCGGTTGAACAGCCTGATTAAAATCCAGTGAACTGACAGCAGTCATAAAAAATTTGCACTTAAATATATAAGGAGATAAATTCAAATTACACTCAACTGGATACAAAATCCTTCTCATCCAATTTTCACTATAAACTCGTAAATTAGTATTATCAAATATATACTATCATATAATTTGCATTGCTAAAGTTTATTAAATTCATTATAAGTTTAAGTCCAAAATAATACTACCGAAATTAAGTTATTTTCTCCAAACAACAGAGGAATCTTGAAATAAAGTTATTTGTTGTGTTAAATGTGAGAGACGCATATTGATATATTCAATTAGACAATTTTGAAAAATCACATTTTTTAGAAATTTCTAAAAACAGAAGACATTGGGTAGGTAAGTTTAAAATGTGTAGTATGCGTTTCAGGTCACCTGTTATCAAATCACCACATAAAATCCATCCATTTCCCACCTTCACCTATAATCCAGTCTTAGAAATGCAAAGATATTGAAAGTTAATCAAGGATACACCTCTAACTGCAAAACAATTTACCCAGTGGTAACCACAATGGTCATGTGCACTATTAGCCATTCCCAAAATTTTAACAGAGTATCTATCTAATTATTTTATAACAACAATATTTTAACTTTTCTCTTACACTTAATATTACTAAAGAAAAACATCCTTTGCACTTGCAGTTTGCATCCGCATCCAAATAGTAATACACAGGAGAGATAGAATGCCATTCCATTGAGAGAAAAACAAAAATTTTAATAGTTCAGTCTTTTAGTATCACATTTAATTAACAATATTTTACTTTCTAAATCAATTGTTTTAAGTAAATAGCAATCATATATATCCAAAGGGTTCTATAAAATATAAGATTATGTGTTCCACAAAATCATCTTTAAGTTACTATAGTTACAGGACTAGACCTGCAAATTCTATGTTAGTATTAAAGGAAAAGAAAAGTATGTTTGCCTTCACCAACTGCAACTGTAAGCAAATGCAGGTATACAGCACTTTATTAGTAAGAACTCCTTTAGTAAGCACACCTTAGAGGAATTAATCATTCATTCCCTGCAGACTGCTTATGTATTTCATAGGGCCATTATCTGATCTGAATAACAAGAACAATTGCATAATAAAACACATTACTGCTGACACTAGCAACTTTATTTTTTCAACTTTAAAGTTGCAACCACCTCTGTATTGCATAGAAAACTTGTGGCAAAAAAAAGAAAAAGAAAACAAGGAAACAAAACAAAACAAACCCCGACAATTTGATCACCCCATCCAGTTTTGACTTTTTTGAAAGTGATCAAATATAATATGTACAAGCCTGACTAGAAATGGTTTTAATTCAGGCTATCTTCCTTAGCACAAAAACATAATTAGAACATAGGCAGAATGTGTGTCACATTAATTTTCATGTTAATTGTAAATCTTTGCTTTCAGCAATTTGAACAAGATCAACAATCTGTCATGTCTTTTCTACTGTAGAAAATGTGTCTTATAATAATATATGTAATAACATGTTTGAACCACTCTTAAAAAATTGGCTACTTCAGTACACTCTTACCTTTTATTTTTCAAGAATTGCTTTTTCAAACATCAGATATCCTTTCAGATATGTGAGGTCACAAGTAAGCAGAGGTCATATGCTTTACAAATCTGATCAAACAAGGGCTTAATTTTAAATTACTTAAATTCATTTTAAACCAATAGCAGAAATGGCAGCTAAGAATAGCAATACCTCTAAGAAAACCCATTTGGATAGAAAATAAAATAATATACAAGAAACAATGACATATCTTTCCCAAAAGATTTCCATATATTATAACTTCATGTCAACAAATTCATCAATTATCCTACTATTATTTCATTACCCTAAAAACTTATGTCCCAAGATATTCAGAGCTTTTGACATTCAAGAACCATAGCAACTCTAAAAGATCTTTCCTTTTTTAAAACCATTGTACATTAGTTTACTCTTAAAATTTTAAAAATCAATGCCAAATGAATATTGCCACTTTTATATACTCATCTGAGTAAATATAAAGGTAACATTTTTTTTTTTTACTTTATCAGTATTGGCAATTAAATAGAAGAGAGCCCTTAGATATTATTTAATGGTAAGGTGTTCTGTTGAAAAAAAAAATTCTGCGAGATAAGTGGCTTTAATTTTCAATCTGGTTCATAACTCTTAAAGATATTTGCTTGTAAAAGTGTGCTTTACACTGAAACAGAAAATTGAAAGTTAAAGATAAAACAAACTTTTAAAATTACTGTTCTACACTAGTCAGCATGAATGCTATTATGTCAGAGAACTTTGACTTTGTTAAAATTCAGCTCTGTTGTATCTAAATTGCAATTCCTACTGTATCTACTGTATATGTAACAATGCAAGAAGAATTAGATTCCGAGTCCATTTGGCAGTAATAAAGAAAAAAAATGCTGAAATGTTATTGATTCTCTCCCTCTTGTGCAAAACAAACTGACTCAACTATATTTTTACTGACATAACACAAGGGTTTTATTTAGATATTACAAAATACTGGCAAATGTTAGACTGTATATCTTTTATTCTTTTTAAATATATCACTAACCCCTTCACAGAGAGAGGAATAGTGTCCTACTTGTTCTTACAGAAATGCTGCAGCTACTGACATGGTGATGTTAGCCCCAAGAAGAATACTGCCTGCAAAAGTTTTTGATGCAGAGATATTCAGCCCTAGGAGACACCTTAAACCTGTCACTGGCTGCTGAGTCCCTGTCACAGTTTATAACCTGCTGTGTCAAAGTCACAGCCTCAGCTCCTATCCTCTCCAAAGCATTTTTCACATTCTCTCTCCAAATTAATTTCATCCAAATTATCCGAACTAGCCTAGTTCCAGGATTTTCTTCCACATCTCATCTACCTACAAGCATTAGAAACCTCAACAGGATTTTCTCCCGGTCTTTCAAACCATCTTTATTAACTTTCCCTTGACCCAATTTTTTTGCAAGCTGTCTTCAGGACTAAAGATAAAGCAAGCAACCAAGTGAAGTCAGAGAAGGATGGGAGTTGGTGTGCGTTAAGGTTGAGGTGGAAGGTAGCAGAAGTGAACCAGGTTAGAATTCTCATCCTTTTTCTGGGTAACCATCCTTAAATCTTAGAACCAACCAACGTTTCACAAGCCAGGCTTCCAACAGCCCTTAAACAATAAACGTTTAGAAATCAGATCCTCAGTAAGGTTCCCCATACTGAAGTCTTCTCAATGTTCTTCATAAATAAATAAATAAATAAATAAATAAATAAATAAATAAATATATATATAAATAAATAAAACAAATAAATAAAGAGCTTAGCAAACCACTTCTCAATTAAGAACTACTTAAGTTATATAAGTCAACTTCGTCCCCGGTAAAACGAACTGTGACTACACCATCTGAAGGGAGAGCATTCAGCATATGCCTCACTTTAGAGAAGAGAAATACAAAAGCACAGTTTACTTACTAAAGCAGCCGCTCCAGTCCTCCTTGGAAACCCTGAGGAGTCTTCTCTTTTCTTTCCTACCAGTCAAATAAAGAATTGTCTTTCTATTCCACACAGGCCCAGAATAAACTGCAAGAAAGGACAGCACATGCACAGCAGCCCATCGGGCTTTGGCTTGGGCAGGGTGCTTCAGGGGCTGTTTGTTTCAAAAGTGGGATCTTCTTTCCCGGAGGGAGAGGGCAACGACCGAAGAAAATAAGGGCGCTCCGAAAGCTTGCTTGGGTCCTGCAAATTATTCTGAAGGCAAAGTACCTGCACTCTCTCCCCACCAAGGCTGCCTGTCAGCGGCGCGCGAGGGGAGGAGGCTGAGGAGGAGGAGCAGCGGGAGGGCTCGGGCTGGGAGGGGACCGCCGGGGCGGGGGGAGGCCGCTGGGTGGCCGGCTGAGCTGCCGCCGAGACCGCGGGGAGGCGAGCGGCCGTCAGGGCGAGGCG